TTAGTAAGAGAGCCAGAGTTTTTAAAGGCAGCTGTAATAGACTGAGATAAAGTAAAGGGATGGGAAATTAGCAATCAGAGACTCGTCTGAAGAAATTGTTGTACTCAGCTTCATTAAGAAGTTAAAACTATTGCCATAAAATATCAAAACAAAATGAAACTACATTATTCACTCGATTTGTAAGATGATCCTGTTTTGTAAGATGAACTCCCCAATAATTAGATTCTATATATGGAAAATGTATACATTTGATATAATTTTCCAGGTATAGAATTTAATTATTGAAGGTTTGTCTCGAATTTGTAAACCTCCCACTGCTACAGCAGGGAAGATAAATCTGGGTGGGGGTCAGGTAGTTCCTTTGTGCTCTCCCTCCTCCCCAACTTCTTTCTCCTGGGACTCCTTTCCCCCTCCTTACTGACAGACCCTGTTCTCCCCAAGCACATGGGAGTGAGGGGCAAATTTGAAAACACTGACCTGGAAATAAACATAGCTGTAGCAATTTGCTGATAGTATTCATAGATTTAGTTCACCAAGCGATGATGCATTTTACCTTTTTTGAAACTGCTACAAGCTTTAGTTTAGGTACTCCACAAACAACTTTAGCACCTACTTTTATAGAGTACAGAATATGTATGCTACTAGTCCAAAGCCAAAAAGCTCATGATTTACCATTATGGGCCTCAACAGTGTCAACAGCATTTCAAGCCTTGGTGACCTAACAGCTCAGCGCTGTGCAGTATGTGTGTGTACTCCAGATACCCAGTTCTAGTCATGAGTGAGGGGCTAATTAGCACATGGATCTTTTGGGGGTGGGGGAGGGTATTTTTGTCATGAGTCCTGGGATGATCCAGTATTTATCTGCAGATGAGGTGCAGGGCAACCTGGTCTGGCTTCACCTCATGGTGGGTGGGCCACACTAATCATATGTGTGAAGCTGAGAGAGGGGCAAAAAGGATTCTGGTGAACCGTTTGGGGCCCTGTTTGGTGATGTTTGCCAGATATTTAAGGCTGGTGAAGAAACAGGGATAATTGGAAATGGGAAAGAAAGGCACGACTCAGTTGTGGGACTGAAGAGGAAGTTGAAATGTAGTCAGTGTAGTGGCTCACCATGTCTTGAAAAAGAGTTATTGGTGAGGGGGACTTGTAGTCAGTGGGTACTACTATATGTTTTATTCAGATAGCCTGTGCTAATCTGTCTTTGTGGAAATGACAGTGATAGTGCAAGAGAAATGGAATAAAAGCTACGTAATAGAGAATAGACACTAAGGACAAGAGCAAAGAACGAACGTAATTATAACGGTGCAGAGAGCACAGGTGTGAGTTTTTGTAATGGGTATGTGGGAGTATGGGTATGTGTATTGTAACAGCTGTATGATTCTGTAACTGTTTTGTGTTTGAAGCTGGTAGGTTTGTTGTGTATGTGTGTGTTGCAAAAAAAATCTATTGTTGTGGATAGATACCTATCCTATCGCTTCTCAGCATTTTTAAGGCTACGATCAAGTTTTCTGGGCCGCACTTTTCTGTTCCCAGGGCCAAGGTCACCTTGAATGGCATTGTGTAGTAAAGGGTGGAGACCTGTCCAATGCACTGTGGACAGAACCCTGTACAAGAGTCTACTATAGTCTTCCAGTAGGAGGATCTCAGCTACACGCCTATTTTATGGTGATGAGGAATTTCTCCCTAGCTTCCTTTGGGTTAAGGGCAAGTGAGACTTGGGGGCATCTGAAATCCAAGATCTCCAGATGCCTGCTGTTGATTTAGGAGTATCTGAAGCCACAGGCTGAAGAATCTAGGAAGGAAGATACTTGCTGGTGATAGTGCCAGACAGACTTGAACAATTGAGGTTTTGTTTGTTCAGCCGATAGGATTTAGAACTAATTTGGCTAATTTGGCCTGAGACACAAAATTAACCCCCCCCCCCACACACACAAAAATTGTTGTAGGTTCCTATCAGCATGTTTGCCCTGGTGTGGGTCACGTGTTTTATAGTCATGCTCAGTGTTGGCTGCATTTAATCAACTTTATAGTTGGTTTCTATTACTGAGTACCAGTTATTTAAAGGTAGGCAATGTACATAGTGCAGTATTCTTGTATGCAAACTTAAGATGAGGGGCTTCCCCCCACATGCTGATGGGGGGGGGGGTGGGGTAGGGGAATCTTGTCTTTTACGGGTAAAGTAGTAAGGGATGAATCATACCTTGCAAAGATAACAAAATGTATGATCACAAAATTGCCTTGTATCATGTTAAGAAATTGCACCAATATGATCTTGGTAAGAATCTATAACCCCTTATTTACCTGCTGCCTGGCAGGGCAGACCTGTATCAAGGTCTGTTGCTACAATATCAACTATCTGAATTAGAATACAAAAGTAAAGGCTGGGTGAAATTAAACATATATGCAGCTTTTATTGTAATTCAGTCTACATACGATTATATAAAAATTAGTATTAAGGTTGCAAGACCAAGCTCTCTGAAGTTAGAGAATACCAGAGTAAGGTCATATGGGCAACCTTGAAATTAGGCCCTAATGTCCTGAGCCTGGACATCTTCCTGAAGCATTGCAACACGACCTTATTTAGGCAGGTATTTAGCAAGCAACCTTAAGTTGTCATGTTGTTGGGGAGTATTTGTATATCTTATTTAATATTGTATCTGTTTTTATAAATTACTTTGTCTTTTTTGTAAGCTGCCTTATGTTCCTTTTCCCAAAAAAAGGACTCATATGTCTAATGAATTAGTAAAATACTGTATTTACCAGAATTTAAGATGATTCTCTAATAATTAGATTCTGTAAGTGGAAAATGTCTACATTTTGTTAGTTTTCAGATGTAATTATTGGAGGGTTATCTTAAAATGCAGGGCAGGCAAAAGGTATAAAACACTTTATACCTTGCCTTCTGCCACCTGTTCATGGCCCCCCTGCTTCTGTGCCTACCCCCTGCCACATCAGATTCTCCTTCTCACTGTCTCCTCTCACCCTCTCTTGGCTGCTTATCTTTGTCCTGGCAAGGTCTGACCCCACTCCAACCTGGGACCCAAATCACATGCTTGCTCTGGCCCCAGCTTAGCCTTGTAGCACTGAGGGCTGGAGCAAACAAATACTCTGTGGCCTGGGCTGGAATGGGACTGGAGTCTGCAGGAGATGGAGCAAAGGGAAGGTGGCAGGCAGGGTGGATAACAATGATTTTAAAAATAGTAATAAAAAATCAGATTTTTTATTTATTTGTATTTTTATATTTTTTTCTTTAAAAAAAATAAACCTTAAATAAAGATAGTTTTAATTGAAGATGCATTAAAGCTCAAAGACATCATCATGGAATGATAACTTCTAATTATATATTATTTGAGCTATTTGATATAGTCATGTAAACTTTTCTAAAAAGTTTTATAAATAGGTCACAACAGACCATAGACTATATTAGGGGCCCAATCTTATGGGGTTCTCAGAGGCTCCTCTGTAGATTAGTAAAGATTAACCTGGCCCAGCAGAACATGGTGCTCAGTCTGGAAGATCACATTAAGCATCTCTGTGATGCTTAATTTCAGCTCTCAAACTGGGGATTGGTGTCTCCAGAGATAACATCCTTGTTAACAGCAGTATATGGAGATGAGAGATAAAAGACCTGAATACCTACCCATCAGCACTCTTGTCTCTCTACAACCTTCTGTACAGAGTTAAGCCCTTACCTCTGTCTAAAAGTAAAAAGTGTCAAGAAGTTAAATAAAGTTATAACAAGAATGCACTTCCTGTAGGAAAAAAATGATTAAATCAAGGCTTCCTGACCAGTGATTTAAATCGAATTGATGTCAATCAAATCCACCCCGGTGGCAGGGGTAGGCTAGGGGGAGAGGTGGGGGGGCAATGGGTGTGGGATGTGGGGAGATGAGAGAAAGAGGCAGTGAAAAAGGCAGATGGAGAAGCAAAGGATGTGGAGGGTAGACAGAGGCTGCAGGGAAGCAGGTGGGGTTGGGGGCAGAGGTGGCAGGGGGAGACACAGTGGCTGTGGCTATGGCTCCAGCCCCAAAATGCAAGATGAGGGGCTTTTCTCCTCCTTGTTGAATGGGGAAAATCCTTTAGCCTTAGATTGGAGTAAATATGGTGTGCCTTATAATAGCTATATAATTATGTCTAAATAGTATGCGATTATGTAACTGTATTGCCGCCTCAGGTATCCAAAAAAAAATGTTTAATACTAAGGTTTTGTTTCCTAACTTTTGAGTGGTTGCTTTTTCCATTATATGCATTATTTCACTTAATTCTTGGATATAGTTTTCTAAGTGAGCTTAAAAAAAAGCACACTGAGGTTTCTGGACCAGGGGGTACAGGGTTCTGAGGCTGTGGAGGTGAGAGGCAGGGGATGCAGAGACATCGGGGGAGGGCAGCGGGGTAGGCAGCTCTGGCTCCGCAGCAGCTGCCTGCCCCTCTTGTGTCTCATACTTGATTCCAAGATTAAGGACATTTTCCCTCATGTTAAATGAGAGAAACAAACCTCGACTTAGAATCGAGTAAGTGCAGTATTTGAGATTTTTTTTTTTTAAGGAGAAGAATGTATGAAAGTAAGAAAGCATTCTTTTATTTAGTTTTTAGAAGTGCTGGAATGAAAAAGAGCATGGACAGTGTAACAGAGAAGTACCCTTACTGTCATGGCATTGACTCGAGAAGGTACTCCATTAGCTGTTGAGCATTAGTGGGAATCTCAAAGTGGATAGTACGGTATTCATTTGGAAAGAAGAACACTTGGAATCTTGTTCTGCTGTAGAGTTCCAAACTGTAATAAGCAAGTTAATATTTAATGTAGAACAAATTTAACTCTTACTCTAAAATACCTTATGTGGTTTTTTTTTCTTATTGTAATATGTGTACTGTCAGAATATCGTAATGCATTTCTCTGTTGCACCATTTTTAGTTTTTGTTCCGGTAGCATTAAAATGGATCCACCTATTTTTCTAGAGGAGTACTACCCCCTTTAGAGGCTGTCCTTTGTCTTGCATTCTCATCATGACAGCAAACTGCAGCTTGGAAGTTGAACTAGTTTGTACTTTCCATAGCTTCTGCGTAGAAAAGGCTCTTTTCTCTGGATCACTGGCATGGTGTTTACTTTGATCCCAAGAACAGGTTTTCTCAGGTTTTTCAGTTTTCTGGCTAACAATGCAGGCAAGAACAAACAGAAGTATAAAAAAAGAGCTTGTTATAGCCTCTCCGCAACAGTACAGGGATGCAGCTCAGTGTGAAGTAGAAGTGGACAGTCCTGTGGAAGTGCTGGTAAGAATTTGTGTAAATTAAATCTTTCTGTCTAACTTTCTTACACTTTTTGAGAAGTGTCTTGATTTTTTGTTTGTTTGTTTTGTTAATTAATCAGACTTTATTCAGGTTGTTCTTGATCCTTTTCTACCAATATGTATTTGCTTTTGGTGTGTAGTTTGGTTTCAGTGAGGTTTTACTTGAGGATTCCAGAATATATTTCAGGCTCTTATTTCATACTATTTACTGCTAAACATCTGTTTATTTTAGCTTAATGTATCTTAAGGTGGTTGTACAAATCTTTAAATTGAGGTTATCTACATTCTTTAATACAAGCAGGACATTACATTTTGTTTTTCAAGAGGCATTGCTTTTGCTTAGACATTTCCTAAATTGTTAATATTTTAAGGACATATACTACAGAATTCATAATTTATTTAATATTCCTGAGATTAGTGTGGCCTATTCAGGTATGCTTAATTGAAGGCTACATTTCCAACCCATACTGAATCAAATATTTTTATCTTTATAATTGTTGAATTGTGAAGTGAAACGTGTGCTCTCTGAGGGAGGAATTTGAGAAGAGTTTGTTCTCTGTTGCTGAGTGGGCTGTATGCTTCTGCTGGAATTTTTATTGTACAGTAAGAGAGCATAGTATTTTTGTATGCAGGCTCCAAGAAATCCTCCAACACAGTGCAGCTAAAACAATTAACTTTTTCAGAGCCTCTCTTTAATCCCCAGGCAAGTCAGTAAGTGTATAATTGTGCTTGATAATTGGAAACAAGTACTCTATTTAATTATGTCTGTAAGGTGTTCCATTTTTGCAAATGAGGTGCTGAAAATTTTGACCATGCTATTATTATTTTTGACTGTAGTTGGGAAAGGGTTGGTTTGTTTGTTTGTTTGTTTGTTTGTTTGTTTTAATGCTTTATTATTTTCATTTTGTTGCTTAGGAACTATAGCTCCCATTGAAATATGTGGAAGCTGCTGAAGACTTAAATCACGTTTATTTTGGCATGCAAATGAAACACTTTTGCCTCTATTAGAAAATAGTCTTGGTGGTTAGTGATTTGTTTATTTTTATGTAGTTACAAAATGCATTTTATTACCTAAAGAAAGTGTGTGCTAGAAAGGAAATCTGATAATAGAAACTCTTCTGACACTTAATTTGATTCTTTATTCAAAGAAGCCATTAATTAAACCTTCCCTTAATACAGGTGTGTTCTGATTTTGTGCAGATATTTATTTGAGAAATGTGAGCTAATCTTTGTTTAGGTTTTGCTTTTTGTGTTTTTTTGTTCTGTTTGAAGTGCTTAACTTTATTTAGAATAGGTTTTTGTCCCCCCGTGAATATTATGAGAAGGTATGTAGTGTTGTTGCAGATGTTTAAAAATGCTGAAGTTGGTGTAACATGTACATACTTACTAGAAACATAGTAGAACAGGATACTAATTTGTCCATATAATTTAAGCATTCTTTTAATTTTCAGAATACTATTTCTGTGTCCTAACATGCATGGGATACATGAGCCCTGCATGTTTCAATATATCCCACACCATATATGATGCATAATTAAGTATATATATTGTAGGGGATAGATATAAATGAAAAAGACATTTTAGAAATCAAAATTCTTGATAAACATTACATTTGACATTAGAACCTACTCACGTTAAATGTATATGCACTAACAAAAGTGATCCTCTTGTAATTTCAGTTACCTATTTCTGTTTTAACCTCTTGAATAATGCTGCTGCCCACAATTTAATATTTGCTGCTGTAAAGGTATTTATGCTAGATTTGGTTGATTTATGCTGTTCCAGTATATAGATAATTTTGTATTTATAAATGCTGCAGCCCCTATATAGGACACTTTTTGGAACACATCTAGAGGTATGTGCTTACCTACCCCAAGGCCTCTTTTGGGGGGGCTGCACTGTTTTTGCTGCCTCCTTGTTCAAAGCATATTTAATTTGTTAGAAAAAATAGTAAGGTGATTACACTGGGCTCTGTCTGGGATAATAGACTCTGAAATGGCAGTGGATCAGTTTAACTGTGTTTTTTCTGGAATTAGTAGTAGGATCATGGAAAGATTGCTATTCATCTGCTCAAATAAGACTAAGATCATGCTACCTCAGGGGCCAGCAGTTAACAGCCCACAGGCCAGAACAACCCAGTTCTGGTCCAGTGTAGACTAGGGGGCTTCCCCTGTGCCTTCACTGGGTCCAGGCAACCATGATGCTGCAACTTCTTGCAGCCCCCTTCCTGCAATGTGAGCACAGCTAAATGCTGCAGTGCCCCAGTTCAGCTGCCCACTGCCTGAAAGCTGTGCCTCTGCTGTGGGGGGTAGAGAGGGTGGAAAGGAGAGCAGGGTGAAGCAGTAATATTGCGGATACAGTTTTGTAAATACCTGGTCCCAACACATCTCCCCGCCACTTGGAGGCTATGCCTGTGTCACAGCTGGGGAGAGGGCAGCTGGGAGAAGTGGAGGCAGCACAGAAGCAGCTTCCTGGCCCCAGCATGAGAGCAGGGAAAACCCTGCTCTGCTGGGTACACTGTTGAAGCCATCTGCCCTGCATTATACTGGAGCTGGAAGGGTGAGAAGTGTCAGCATCATGGACACAACTGGAAGCTACCTGACCCCAACACAGGCATAGGTGTGGGCACAGGCAGAGCTCTGCAGACCTAGTAGCTCCATGGGCCAAATGTGGCCCACAGGCTGTACATTACTGACCTCTGTGCTACTTTGTGGAAACAACTAGAAGAAATGGCAGAAACTATACTGGCTCACTTCTTGTTTCTCAGATTACCAAACTACGGCTTTTACTGAATTGTCTTGAGGCTTTGGTTGGGATAGGAGTCAGAAATGTGGAGTTTTAGGCATGGACTAAAGTGTTGCAACCTGTTGTCTCAGAGGCCTATTTTCTTACAGTTATTCACGCCTCTCTTAACCTGCATGTTTCGCTTCTGTAAAGTGATTTATTTTGAGATGCAATTCAAGAGCAGCAGTTAGAAAATATAGTTAGGATAGAATAGGTTGCTTCCTGTATGAAGTGTTTCAAGGCACGTTTATATATGGCCTTCTCTGATCCATGATGGCTTATGGTTTATTTCAGTGTACAGTTTGCAAGGACTTGGTTTTAAAGTTTAGGAATTCATATATCCATGTTTTGTATATCCTTGTGGGATACTGAAGCAGAGATTAGTTAACTGAGAGCAGCCCGGGCTCTGTGGCGGGTGGTAAGGACCTGCCCAGAGCCTGGGCCAGTTATGGCAGGTGGCCAGGAGGCTGCAAGCCACTACACTGACGTCTGTGGAGCCCTGGCCTGGTTTGTTGCTGGCAGCAGGTACATGAGCCCATCAGGGCAGACAGCAGAGAAGGGGCCGGGGCTGTGCTGCCACAATAAGAATTAGGCCACTCATGGATCCCCAGTCATCTGCCCTAAAGCAAGCGTGCACCCACTGTTGGCCCCTTTCCCACTATCTGCCCTGAGGTGCACATGCCAAGCAAAATGCCTTTGCATGTGCCACACTCTGATGTGTGCTGGGTTTGCCAGCCCTTGTCCCAATACATCAGATGGTATTTCTGGGATTCTGCAATTCTTATTTGAATCCTAAGAGATCCTTATCCTAAGATAATTCTCATCTAGGCCTCAGTTCTTTTTTGGTATAGAATTTTTCACATCTCCCTAGCAACCTATTGTCCAGTATTGCTATCCTTTCCAAATGTACCCGGTAAATGTTTTGGAAGGAGGGGAGGGTATGGTCTTCACACCAGACAGCAGGAGAGCAATAGCAAGCAAAATAAAATGCACTCGGCAGGTTGAAGATAGGAGACATCCATTATATTAGGTATGGGCAAAATATGGTCCACAGGCCAGATCTGACCTGCTAGGCACTTTCATTGGGCCCGCAGCACCCGCCGGCCAATTGTCCCCTGCCCAGCCCTTCCACCCACAAGGGTTGGGAGCAAGGCACCCACGTATACACCCCCTCCCCCCAAATATACCCTGTTGTGCCTTGCTTCCACCCTCATGGGCAGAAGGGCCTGGCCCAGCCAGTATGCAGCCTCTAGGGGACCTCCTCTGTTACCCCAGTGTCCTGCTCACTCTGGGCAGCAGGTAGGGAAGTGGTGGGGAGTGGGAGTGGGAGCTGCAGCTGGGCAGGAGCGTGGAGTGTGGCGCTAGGGTTGGTGGCAGCATGGAGCTCAGGTGGGCCGAGTGTGGGTGTGAGGGAGGGTGAGGGGTGTGGGCCCCCCCCCCCACATCTACCATGGCCCTCAGGGTGGTTGTGCCAAGCACACATGCTGGTGCCTGGCGGTGTGCAGTTCTGGCCAGTGCTGCACATCATGGTGAGTGCAGCCCAACTGGGCTGCCTCTATTGCTGTTGATCCCCACTGCGCACGTACAGCCCCCACACTCATGCACCACTGGAGGGAAGCTCCCTGTGATGGAGCCGGCTGCCTTCCCTGCTGTGCAAGTCCCAGGACTCTGGTGGAAGTGGAAGGGAGCCCCGGCCTGTGCTTCCTTGCGGCGTCCTGGACCTGCATGGCAGGGGGTTGTGAAGGCTTTCCTCCAGTAGCACAAAAGTGTGGGTACTGTGCATGTGTGGCAGGGAGTGCCGGTGATAGAGCAATGCGCAGTGCTGGCCAGAGCAGTGTGCTGCTGGGCATGAGCTCCCTGAGTGTCCTCACCTGCTGCTGCTGCACCATGAGAGTGTGAGGGGGTCCTCACACCCCCTACCCTCCAACACCCCCCACAAGTGCCCCACATCCACAACCTTCCCCTACAACCCTTCACATATACGCACCCTTAACATACTCTATGCCTCCCCCACAACCTTACAACCTAGCGCGCGTGTGTGTGCACGCGCACACACATACACACACAATAGAAGACTAAGAATTTATTTTTGAGTTATTATGCGGTCACCTCTACATACAGTATGCAAACACAAATGACAAAAATATTTTTTGTAATTAAATTAAAATATGTTATAGTAGGTGTTTGACTTCTAGTGTA